CTGGCCTGTCACAGGGGAGAGATAAACAACACCTACTAGAGAGAAACAGTCACTATCTGAAATCAATAACAGAAAAAGAGGCTATGGGGAGACTGATGTTTGGTTTTTAAACACCCTGGTCAGTCATAAAGGGCTGGCAAATATTCTCTGTATTATCAAATTCTATTCTGGGATGAACACCAGCCCCAGGGAAATACCAACCTTAAATGGTAACTGAAACGTGGGGAAAGATTTAAATAACTAAACTGGAATGAATCAGAAGTAAATACTCCAAAGCTGATCTGAAGGGGGAAAACAGATTGGAGATTTTACAATTAAAGCAGATAACAGGCCAAGCAAAAGGCGTCAGTGTGAAATGGGGCACAGAGATGAGTGCCACTGTATTTTTTGTGTAACTTGAATAAGTTAGTGTTAGTGGAGCTTCTTTTGAGAAAGAAGAGACTATTCCAGAAAACAGGATGAAGGAGGAAGCAGTTTTCTTTCTTAGTGTCCCTAGAAGGGCACAGGAATCAGGGTAGCAAATCTTCGTCTTGGCAAGTGCTCAGACTTATGATAAATCTCAGCATGAGAGGCAAAATGTAATTTTAACTATTCTGAGGCCTCACTCAGGTTTCCCATTCCTTAAGCTCAGCCAGCTCATAAGAAACTCAGTTTTCATGATCTGTTTGATTGGCACACCACATCCTTACAGGGGATGAAGGGAGACTTGGCTCTGCACAGGAAAACCTCAACATGGGAAGAAAACCAGCCCACCAAATTGGCAATTTAGAAATTCCTGGAAAGATGGGAGGGAGACCTCGAGCAGCCTTCGGTGGTACCATGCAGAAAGCTGCTGGAGCTGCCAGTGCACGGCTGGATGCCAAGGCTAATGCCAGCAGCCTAGCATTGGTGCCAGAGGGAACTTCTCAGGGCAGCAGGGGGGCAGAGATACACGTGGTATGCCCAGAAGCAGCAGAACTATAGTGGGCTGTTTGTCCCCTGCTACTCCTGTGAGTAGAACTGCTGGAGAACTCAGTGATTACTGAGATGACAGGAACACAAGTACTGGCTGTGACCTGGTGCAGGTCTGCAGGCTACTGATGCTTCATGGTGGTGCGGGAGGCTGCAGGCTTGGGCAGTTAGGCACAGTGCCCCTGTGCTCCTGGGAATGCGATGGCTTTCTCACTAAGCATTTTAATTAACATCTTCTCTCCTTACACCAAATGAAATAGTCATTGTTTCCTTATAAAAAGAGCCTTGGGCACTCACTCTGTGTTGTGCCTTTGATGCAGCCATGGAGTTCATGGCAGATGACCCCAGGAAGAAGATTATGGCACGTCCCCGAGCCAACCGTCCCTTGGTGCCCTTGCCCAGTTCCAGCTAAGTTCTCACCTGCTGTAAAGACTTTTTCACAAAAGGCAAAGGCAGTCCCTGGGCTGTGTAGTTTCCCATCAGACATCGCAGGGAAGGACCCAGCACTTCAAATACCAGGCACATATGTGGGAGAGAGTCAGGGATTCACTAACAGGGAGAAGGGGATACCACCAGCCCTTTGCCCTTCACCAGAGCAATCAAATACCTCCTTACCCAACCTGTCTCCTCCATCCAACCCTGTGTGCCCCGATCCAGCTGCAGCCCTTCTCATCCTCTTCATGGCAGCACAGCACTTGGGCTTACACCATCCTGTGGCTCCCTGAGGCAAGCCCAGGCTTTGCTGACACAGAGCTGCAGCTGCACTCTCTGCAGAAGGATATGGAAGCCATTCTCTCCAATCATTCTGAAGTCATCTAACAAACAGACGATGTTTTCTCCTGCCCGGTCCTTCTTCTTCATACAGCTCACCTGAGTGGGAGGATTCCAAGAAAGCTGCAATTAGAGACATATATGCACAAGGACACCTTGCACCTGTTTTATCCTGTTTGCCAGACTTTCTCTTCCAGGAGTTGGTACTTCATGACAAATCCCATAAAAACAACATCAGGAAAAAAGGCTCCAAACATACAAGCAGAGTCTGTTAGCAGGGGGTGAGTTTCTCTATGTTGTCTCGCTCTTGACCGGGTGGGACCATCACTCTCTCAGTGTGAAAACAACACCAATCCTGCTAATCGTGTCTGGCACACTTTCCCCTGCTTATTCTATCCATGTGGACCCACAAAGTGCTGCTGCTTTTGCTGGAAGGGGATTCCTGCAAGAATACAACTCCCTGCTCCCAGCAGCAATGGCTGTCCACTTCCTTTGCCCTTCTGCAGCCTCTGCTCCTTGCCTCCAGAGCAGGGATGGCTCTGGCCCTCCCTGGCTAGGAGTAACAGGCTGGGACATCACCTTTTAAAACTCACACCTTCCCTTCAGCCGTTTCTGTCAAGGGGTTGCAGAGAGCAGAGACCTTGTCTTTGGCTATTCAAATGCTACCTGTTCTACCAGGATAGAGAGCAACTTCCACACCTGGAGGAACCTGGTAAAGTGGGCTGTTTTGGGCTGGAAAAGAGTTGGATGTGGGCAAGTACTGCAGAGATCTATAAGATGTGGAGGGGATGAACACATCTTTTGTATTCTACCACTGAGAATTACTGCCCACAGAGACATCACCCTTGGCTCAAGGAATCTCCAGCTGGAAATTATGGTAGGCCAGGGGAGCATTCAGTGGGAGCAGCATCCCGTGCTTAGCTTGTCTTTACACACATTTGGATATTTGCTGCTGGCCCAGAGTGTTGGGCTGAGGGAACCCTCAGTCTACCCAAGCACAGATGCTGTGATACCCCCAGCACCATACACCTGTGTGACAAGGTGCATCAGGAGCTTGCTCTCACAGAGCACTGATCCTGGTACAGCAATTCATACTGTTTCTTTCTCTCTTCACAGCCATAGCTGGTTTGGCTCATTGTGCAGAGGCTGGAGCTGCCTGCACCAGCAGCAGGAGGTTTGTGCTGGCACAACAGAGGTAAGCAGCCCTGGAAACACAGGAGACCAGATTGCCTGGGAGCTCTGCAGGCACTGACCCCCCTGAGCCAGTGGGAACAGCCCTGGGAACCAGCTGGATGCTGCTGAATAGGCAGGCGTGTCTCTCAGAGACAATTAATAATAAATCAGGGATAAGGCTCAGTCTGTACACAGGATTGTGCTGATGTGTAGAAAAGCAGTCCTCTGATTACATTGAATTAGTGCCACTTGGTACTTCCTTTTGCATCACTGCTTTTGGCTCATGTCCCTTTGGATTGGGCCTACACATTTACAGGTGTGAACTGAACCTTTCTCAAACCTGTTGGAGAAAGGCCACAGAGTAATATAAAATGCAAAATTTAATGGCTTTTACTCATCTGAAGCTGATGTAACTTTCTGTTTGGGCAAACTTGAAGAATTGTAACCATGAGCTTTCTAGAACTAGCAGTTCAAGCCACCTTCAAAGGCAGCTAGCTGAGATCCAGATACAGGCACCTAATTACCTCACTCATTAGCAAAGGCAGGAGGAAGTTTTCTGACTTCAGACATTTATTATATTTTTGCTACATCAGAGTTTATTCTTTTGTAGGCATTTCCTTTTACTATCAGTGTTGTGATCGAGCAACATCTTCTGAGCTGGGAAGGACACAGATACAGTGGACACACTCATCTCCTGCTTGAGAACATTACCACCTTTTCTGTTGATTATCCATCTTATCTTTCTGCAGATTCTTCCTATTTTCTGAATTTTGGTCTCAGCTAAAAGAAATGGGTTAACAGGGCAAGTGGAACACAGCCAGCATGTCCCAGTAAGACAGGAGGAAGGAGAAGGTGCTTGTTTCAGGAGGCCAGTACTGAGCCAGGGTGATTTCTATGAATTCCCTAACTTTTTGGGTTTTTTTTCCTGTTTCCCACCAAGTTCCTTAAACTGAGAGCTAGAGAGAGAGGGGATAATGAGGTTGATACTCAGACCTGAACTTAGTGGCCATTCCCTGGAGCAAAGCACAGAGTCCCATAACATACTTACACAGTGGAGGAGAGCAACCTCATCCTGGGCAGTCTCAGCAAAGCCTTCCCTGCTTTTCAGGACTTTCACAGCTACCTGTTTCTTCCTCCTGGGAAATGAATCACAGCTGCCAGCCAGCATATGTCAGAGTGGCCCTAACCAGCAGCACCTCCCCTTCTCCCAGTCACCCAGCCCTGGGCTCCCCAGGGAGGTTGCTGCCCTTCTGCAAGCAGCTGTACCCTTGCTGTGCAGCACACCAGGCCTGTAGACATCCTTTCTGCCTGCATCTAGCAGCATAGCTGCCCTGAGGACCAGCAAGGAATAGGAGAGGAAAAGGCAGAGCATGGATACTGCAGGGTCTAAACTGGAAAAGAAAATGCAGAACAAGGGTTGATCCCACCTCACTGACATTCTTTGGTTTCTGGGGACCAGCTGTGCTCGTTGCACCCCACTGGTCTCACTGCCAGGTCTTCCCTGTGCTCAGGGGATGCTGATATGCTCCCAGGCAGGCAGCTGTGCTCTGCTGCTTCTGTGAGAAGGGCTAGTCCTGCCCAGGAGAACAGCCACCCCTTCCCATCTCCCTGAAAGGCAGTTAGCCCCTCACCTCATGTCCTGGCACAGCCAGACGGTGGCAAAGGCGCCGCAGCCCAACTTGCACAGCGCCTGGTATCGCGTGTTGAACACCTCTCCCTCCCACACGGGGTGGTGGCCTCCTGTGGGGACCATAGCCAAGAAACATCAGTGGCATCTTTAAGTGGTCTTAGACCAAAGGAGCAGCTAAGGACATCCAGACAGGTCCCAGTGTCCTCCTCTGGCCTGGGAAGAGCCTGGCACGATCTCAGCTCTGGAGCCTCGTACCCAGGGACTGACCTGTGCGCTGGGCTGACAGCACCTCCTCCTGCACCTGCTCCTCCATGGCACAGCAGATCCTGGCCCGAGGGGATGGAGGCAGTGGGGAACTGGGTCGTGGGGCACAGGCAGTGTGGTCTTCAGCACTTCACTCCTTTAAAGAGACCTGCCGGACATCCATACCTCTGCTGCACACCTTGATTCCCTCTTCCACCCCCTGCTGTCCCCTCGCCCTTTTCCTTCCCATTCCCTTCAACAGCTCCTGGATCCAACCTGTTACTAACACTTTTGGCACTTCATGGAGACAGGGATTATTTTAGGAGTTCAGAAGAGGAAAGCTGGCAGGCTGGGGCCAGGCCAGGGCCAGGTGGGAGTCTCAAGTTTCCCTATGCCCAGTGTGGATTTTCAGGGGCTTAGCAAGGTCTGTGGGATCCTCTCCCACAGCCAGGGAAAGCACCCCTCCCTATCCCCATCCTGGCTGAGGAGGGAACACATTTGGGCTTTGACTGGCAGAAGGAGCCTCCTGCGCCCAAGGGTTGTGAAGCAGAACATGTGTTTTAGATACTGCAGTGCTGCTCCTCTGCCACAGCCCAGCCCTGGGGTCAGAGCATGGGTTTGTCACTGTCCTGTGACATCCCAGCGAGAGGCTTCTCCTGGGTTTGTTACTATGACAGCCCAAGGGACAAACATTGAGACCATGCAGACAGATTGATCCAACTGCTGTCCCCCTGTGCCACAGCACTGGTGTAGGACTGGCTTCAGCACTGGTCAGCTGAAATAGCAGCCCAGAGCCCGTGTTGCTAATGAAATACAGATGTAAGCTGGGGCACTCCCAACCCAGCCTTTCATAATCTGGAAATGTCACTTGCTGCATGGCCAAAGCTTCAGGCTAACATACACTGTCAGAGCATGAGACAGGTGGTAATAATCCTCATAGACCATTAGCACAGGTAGAAAAATTGACCTTTAAATCCTCCAAATCAGGTCACCAAAGCTAAGAACTCATCTGAACCAGAGGATTTTCAAAAATAATTATAGAGGGCTGGCAGTGCTGGTGGCAGCAGGAGCCACGTGACAGGGAGTTGCTCTGGAACAGTAACATCTTCCAGGTGCTGAGACAGAGGCATGACTTCCTCAAAAGACTAGTTTCTTTCCACATGCTGATGCTCCTCTCTGAGCACAGCAGCCAGAGACACAGCCTGCCTTTGGGCATTCAGCAAGCTCACAGCATGGTTCTAATTAAGGGTCAGACTGTGCTCAAGACTTCCATCCTGTCAAGGACAATCCAAAGTGCCAGAGCTGATGTTGCTCCATTCACTCAAGCTTGTACAGAAGTCTGAAATGAGCTCAAAACCCTCCCCCTCCTTGTATTTCTACACATCTAACCATGGCATTTACACTGCAGAATCAGCCTCTTTTAGACATAAACCTCCAGGATGCTGCATGTCTGCACAGCCAGCTATGAAACAGAGCTGAAATCAAAATTTTCCTTATTTGTCCACAGGCTGAGCTTATCAGTACCCTTGCAGGCTCCTGCAGCACCAGGCATCTGGTGCATCTGCTGAGCCCTCTTCACTCATGCCATGAGGACAGCAGGGACTGAGCTGAGAGTTGGGCAACAGCTGGAAAGATTTAATGATGTCACTCACCATTCACCTGCCAAAGGAAAACTCATGAGCATATGGAGATGGGAGTTCAACAGCATCTTCCATTGGTCAGGTGTTATGGTAAGAGACTTCAGTGGGAAAGTAGGACCCAAAGACAGACTCAGGGTGTAAGACACACCTAGCACTAGGGCTGATGGAGCTTTTTGGGCAGCTCACCAGGTCTTGGTGCCTTTCTTGCTGCAGAGGCAAGACAAGTCCATCCTTAAGCATGTGAAACTTTACCTCCATTCACCCTAGCTGGATGGAAGCACTGCCAAAGGATGAGGAGTGTTGCTATGCAACTTGGTACAGGAGAGTGAAACATACATTTCTAAGCTTTGCGATAAATGACAATTGGTGCTTTTAAGTCCTTCATTGCTTGACACCTTTACATTAAACACAACTTAGTTTGCTTTTGTGCAGAACCCTCTGAACTGCTGCAGGTCTGGACCAGCTCAGAGAATTTCAGCCCAAAAACTGGTCCTGCCTGGTTTGCAAGAGCCACAGCAGGGAGCAAGCAGTGCTTCACTTCTAGCCTGGACACTTCCACCTGGCCTGCACGGAATTGCGTACGGAGGTGGCCAACACCAGTCAAACCTTATGACACACAGACCCCTTGAGTGGCAGAGCTCTCAGCAGAGCAACACACACCAACGCAACACAGACCTACAAGCCCTTGCTGAGCGCAGCATCCCTGCAAGTCACAACGTGCAGCATACAGGCAGCCCCGTTGGCACGTGGGGCTCAGCCCCAGGGCCCTGCGCAGACTCACCGTGGAGCAGCTCCTGGGCAGGGCACACTGTTCTGTTTGTCATCTGGCTCATCCTGGAGCTGCCCAAAGTGAGATACCAGCTGGTCCTGCTCTCCTTTTAGTCTGTGCTGCCCCAGGAGGGGTGTCCTTGAGCAGACCAAACTTTCCTGCATCGCTGGATGGACGTAGTGAGGAGCAGGGCAGGGTATCAGATCACAGCACTGATTCTGGGAACAACCTTGGCGTTGGGATAGCAGGAGACCTCAGACAGCTGCGGTGGATTCACTTTACTGCTGGCCTCTCCCTGCCTCCCTGGCAGCAGGTCTGTCAGCCTGCTGTGGATCCACAGTCTCCACAGCAACTATTTATAGCGGGAAATTCACAGCTCTGCTGAGATGGAAACAGAGAAATCCTCCCCCTCTACTCCACCATCCCCAGACCTAGAAACCATGGGGCTGCCAGGCTCTTCCCACTGCTCCTAACAGTATCTCAGCAGGACTTACTGCTGCAGCACCATCTGCCTGACACAACCATCCCCAGCCTGTGCCTGGCAGAGAGGACAGGCTCCCCAAGCTCACCGTTGTGCCACACTGCCCGACTTGAGGCACCTCTGCCTTCCCAGCAGTGCTGCCTGCAGCCGAACACCATTGCAGCGTGGTGCTGGTGGCCACAGAGCTCACGCTTCCCCTCTTCCTTTCTCATGGAGAGCGACCACAGCAGCATCCTCCCTGCAGCCCTGGGGGGACCTCAGCATCCCAACACTATGAAACGCTGGGGAGGAAAAGGCCACACACAGTAAAAAAAAATCACATTTTTCTCCACTGCCACATGCTGTAGCCTCACACCGGAGCTGGGCATGGCCTGGCCTCCCCCTCGCTGGGGCCCTGGGCTCACACAGCTCAGGTTTCCTGACCGAGGCTGCAGAGACCAAGCCCCAGCCCTGCAGCAAGGGGTTAACCCTGCCTCGAAGTAGTTGGCTGCAGCTCTAGGCTGCCAAACCCAGGCCGGGGCCTCCCAGCGCGGTTCTCCCCCTGCCTGTGCCCCTCTGCTCTCACCTGCCTTCCCTGCACTAAAAATACCAGGCGAGGGGGCAGGGGGGCAGAGGCTGCGCCAGGCTGGGTGCTGAGCCATGCGGGGCAGCACGCGGGGGACAAGTGGTTTGTGACCCCTAAAAGGGCAACAAGAACACACAGAGTACAGAGAGGAGGGACTAAAAGAGGGGGGGAAGCAGACTCTATCCAAAACTCTGCTAGTAAAGGAAGTGGTGGTTGGGGGGTGGGAAGAAAAGAGGATACATGGGCCAGGAGCCAGCTTTCTGTCTGGGAAGAACTGTGCAATTCATTTAAGAACTAAGTTGCTTTGGTAAATTAGGAACACTGGTTCCTTCCTCACACTGGTGGACAACATAAACTGTAGCTTCAGCAACCCTTACCCAGGGTGGGAGAACACAGCCAGAGTTGCCAGGCACCATCTACCCCCTGTGCCAGCCCAACGCGAGCTCTGCGGAGGGAGGCTGCCTCCTCCCGTGGGCAGGGATGGTATTTGAGCTCTGGAAACTGCAGAAGCACGCAGATGGAGGTGGAAGGTGGCACAAAGTAATCTTGAAGAAACACAGCCTATGGAGGAGGCAGGAAGGAAAAGCCCCATGCTCTTTGCACAGCTCCCGCTGCTCAGGAGTCCACAATTTCCACTGAGGAGGAAAAAGAAGCAGATACATTCTGGGTAATTGCACCATCATACAATACAAGCATGACACAGAGGTTGTATATTAAAATTTATTGAATTATTGTGTAAGAATTCTCTTTATTAAAATCATTTGGACTCTAAACTGATTATTTACAGACAAAAACCTCTTATATCACCAATAGATTCCTACATCTCAGAACAGTATCTACAAACAGTTATTACACTATGTAACAAAATTCAGATTTTTTTTCAAGCTTTTTATATTAATTATTAATTCCAATTTGAGAAAGACAGTACCTCGGGTGCTCTGAGCAGAACTCAAGGTGTGGCAGGGCATAAATGCAGGTCAGGCCATACCATAACAGACAGACAGACACACACCAAGTCACAAGGCTGGGAGGGGGCAGAGTCACCAGGACAGAGGTCTAGGAAAAAGACTATTAGAGCAAATGCCCTGGGTGTTCTGGAAACCAAAAGAATCATCCCCACAAGAAAGGCACAAAAAAAAAAAAACAACCAAGCAGCATCTTGCTGCAATCGGGGCACACCCTGACAAAGAAATGGCATTCCACCGAGGCAGCAGCATCTGAGAACCCTCTATTTCATGTAAAAAAAAAATTTGCCATCATTTCTACCAAAAAAAAAAATAAAAAAATCTTTCAGGTACAGCCTAAATTTGCCACCAGACAGATGAAAGCAAATGCTCTCACATCTACATCACGTGGGTGCCAGCTACGCTTCGTTGTGCCAGCGCAGAGACATTCAAACACACTAACGGAGATTTATCTCAATACTAATCAGTTCTCAGCCTTTTCATTCAGACCACGCTGGAAGCGAGTTCCTCCCTCTGCCCGCGGTACTAAACAGAGCTGGATGTCTGCACCGTTCGGCGTCCCATCAGAGCGCGACATCCCTCGCTGCGCTGGTGTCCCGCCCGAGGGGACCAGCCGCGGTGCCAGGGCTCTCTCTGCTGGTGCCCACAGA